AACACTGATTCATCCAGTAATGAAACAAGTGAAGTCTGTATGAGTGAGTCATTGAATCATTCATTCAAGAGATTTGTTCAAAAATGCTGATTCATCCAGTAATGAAGCAAGTGAAGTCTTTATGAGTGAGTCATTGAATCATTCATTCAAGAGATTCGTTCAAAAACACTGATTCATCCAGTAATGAAGCAAGTGAAGATTTGAGTGAGTCATTGAATCATTCATTCAAGAGATTTGTTCAAAAACACTGATTCATCGAGTAATGAAACAAGTGAAGTCTGTATGAGTGAGTCATTGAATCATTCATTCAAGAGATTTGTTCAAAAACGCTGATTCATCCAGTAATGAAGCAAGTGAAGTCTTTATGAGTGAGTCATTGAATCATTCATTCAAGAGATTCGTTCAAAAACACTGATTCATCCAGTAATGAAGCAAGTGAAGATTTGAGTGAGTCATTGAATCATTCATTCAAGAGATTTGTTCAAAAATGCTGATTCATCCAGTAATGAAACAAGTGAAGTCTTTATGAGTGAGTCATTGAATCATTCATTCAAGAGATTCGTTCAAAAACACTGATTCATCCAGTAATGAAGCAAGTGAAGATTTGAGTGAGTCATTGAATCATTCATTCAAACTGATTTTTGATAAATAATTAATTCCATTTAATTAAACATTTTAAATAGGCCGCACTGCAGCAATTAACATTTAGTCAGAACCTCTAGTAAATTACATGTTTTACAATGACTCTTTTTTGGACTATCAACGTTCTACAGCACATTTTAGAAAGTGGTGTGAGGAGAACTTTCTGCACCTCAATATTTTAAAGACTAAGGAACTGGCCTTTAGCACCTCAAAAGCACAGATCCATGCTTCTAGCATTATCATTGATGGAGAGATAGTTGAGAGAGTAGAGCATTTCAAATATCTTGGCATTATTTTGGATCAAAATCTCAATTTTAACCAGCATACTCTAGGGTTTTACAAATGCTGTCAACAAAGACTGACAGCTATTCGTAAACTCAGGCACTTGTCTGTTCAGCCACGTCTTCTTCTGCTTCTGTATCGTAGTATTATTGAGCCGGTCCTTACTTATGGGGCCATTTGTTTTTTTCATATGCTTACAGTTACTAACAAGAACAAATTCTTAAAGATAACTCATTTAGCAAGTAAAATGATTGGTATCCCTACCCCCAATTTATCGGATAGTGTCTCGACATTCACGTTGCGAAAGGCACAAAAAATCTTAAAGGACTCAGAACACCCACTTTACAAGTGTTTTATCCTCCTGCCTTCTGGCCGCAGGTATAGGTCACCAATGTGTAGGAGGAGTTTTGTTCCTGTATCTAGACGAGCTCTAAATACATAGGAAATCAGCCTTTGATACGCCAGGTATGCTCTGTTTTTTTTTTTTTTTTTTTTTTTGGATGTTTATATGTTGATGTTCTTAATATGTTATACATGTGTGTTTGCATTATGTACGCATCTATGGTGGAAACAAATTTCCTCTCGAGGACAAATAAATCATCATCATCATCATGTTGTGTGTTTAGAATCGTGTGAGAATCGCAATCTTTATTTGATTCTCTATTTATCCAGAATCATGCAGCTCTAATTTATTTAACTACTCCTTTAATGACCACAGGGTCATTTCAAATGTAATGACTATTTGTGTTGACTTTACCAGTAAAATATCTTTTGATATAAGCAGTTATTGTAACAGCTACTCCGACAGTGATATAAGATTCAATTCACATTTATTTGTATAGCGCTTTCACAGAACACATCGTTGCAAAGCAGCTTTAGAGTCCACATTACAATAGAGTGATCAGAGGAGACTGTCTGAGTTATGTATTTCAGAAATGTACATATACAGAATCACAGTTAGCGAAAAAGATATTAATTTAAACAATGTAATAATTAAATGCAGAAACAATGAGCTCATTGAAGTAATGAATGATGAAGATGCGAAAGAACACGTTGAGTGTAACTGTGAGTGTTTGTGCAGGTATAATGGCTCTCTGCCAGGAGGGGACCGGGGCCGCAAGAGGAGCCGCTTTGCTCTTTACAGGAGAGCGAAGGCCAACGGCGTCAAGCCGAGCGCGGTGCACGTCCTCAGCAACCCTCACGACAGCAAGGTGCGTTTCATGCAGCACATCGCAGTGCAGTGCATTGTGGGATAGTGAGAGTGCGTGACCTTTGTTTGCAGGCGGTGAACAGCAGGGGGCAGCACAGCATCTCCTTCACCCTCTCCAGGAGCCAGACCGTGGTGGTGGAGTATTGCCACGATAATGACACCGACATGTTCCAGGTGAGTCCAGCAGGAGAGCCCGTCTCAGGGCTTAAGTTCTCCAGACACAGGCACTGCTGATGTGCGGATGAGCGGCCGGAGCGCGTTAAGGGTTTCTGTAGAGCGGTGTCGTGTTAGCGGCCCCTAAGTTAATCACTAATGATCTTTACAACAGAAGTGAATCAATCAAAACTAACTTTATCTGGACAATAACTTTATTCTAGAGCTGCTGTAAAGCCTAAACACTCTCTGTTACTGGAATCTCCTGTTATCACTGTAAAGCTGCTGTGAAACTCTGTTAAAAGCGCTATATAAATAAAAATATTATGATGTCTGTAGTAACATAACTTTTCATTGAGATATTAGACTTCTCATTCTGCAACTCGTCGGTTTGTATAGACTAGGGTTGGGAATCAAAAAGACTAAATGTGAATGATATCGAAGTGTTTTTATTGTCCTTATTGGAATCGAAATTCAGAATCATTAAAGTTCAAACGATCCCCAACCCTTGTTACGCCTTCATGCTTGTGTTGGACTGTGAGACTGATGTGTCCCATAATGCCGTGTGCAGATCGGCCGCTCGACGGAGAGCCCTATAGACTTCGTGGTGACGGATACGCCGGGAGGGTCCAAGGAGAGCGAGGACTCGTCTTCGGCTCCCAGCACCATCTCACGCTTCGCCTGCAGGATCGTCTGCGATCGCAACCCGCCGTTCACCGCGCGCATCTACGCCGCCGGCTTCGACTCCTCCAAGAACATCTTCCTCGGGGTGGGTGTTCATCCTGGGGAAATTGCAGAATAACACTGTACAGGATCGTCATTTTTAGTTGGAAATACCGATAACCGATAATTCTTTATATTTGAAAGCCGATAACCGATATATTGGCCGATAAATCTAAATTCAGATTTTTATGTAATTTTTAAGAGTCTGATAACAAAAACAAGTCTCACCATTAAAAGACATGTCTTAAGCACACAATTATAATGTTTCTATTATAATTTTATGTAGCCGATATTATAGACTTGCGCTGCACATGTTGCACTTTTTTGAAGGGATTTAAATCATATTTTAAGCAATTCAAAACCATCATGTCTCAGCTGAAGGAAATAATCCATTATTTATCGGCTTTAATATATCGGCCAAATTTTCTTGTTGGGGCCGATAACGATAACATTAAAAATGAACATATATCGGCCGATACCGATATATTGGCTGATAAATCCAATTTTTATATAATTTTTGCCTGATTACAAAAACAAAAGTCCCAGCATTAAAAGCCATGTGCCAAACACACAATTATAATGTTTTTATTATAATTTTATAGACTATATTATAGATATTATACGATATTATATTATATAACATGCTGCACATGTTGCACTTTTTTGAAGGGATTTTAATCTTATTTCTAAGCAATTCAAACCCATCATGTTGAACAGTGCGCATCTGAAGCGTCTCAGCTGAAGGAGATAACACATTATTTATCGGCTTTAATATATCGGCCAAATTTTATTATCAGGCCGATAACGATAACATTAAAAATGAACAGATATCGGCCGTTACCGATATATTGGCTGATAAATCTAAATATAATTTTGGCCTGATTACAAAAACAAAAGTCTCAGCATTAAAAGCCATGTGCCAAACACACAATTATAATGTTTTTATTATAATTTTATAGACTATATTATAGATATTATACGATATTATATTATATAACATGCTGCACATGTTGCACTTTTTTGAAGGGATTTTAATCTTATTTCTAAGCAATTCAAACCCATCATGTTGAACAGTGCGCATCTGAAGCGTCTCAGCTGAAGGAAATAATCCATTATTTATCGGCTTTAATATATCGGCCAAATTTTATTATCAGGCCGATAACGATAACATTAAAAATGAACAGATATCGGCCGTTACCGATATATTGGCTGATAAATCTAAATATAATTTTGGCCTGATTACAAAAACAAAAGTCTCAGCATTAAAAGCCATGTGCCAAACACACAATTATAATGTTTTTATTATAATTTTATGTAGCCGATATGACAGACTTGCTGCACATGTTGCACTGAACTGTATTTTCCTTTTTTCCAATCATATTTCAAACAATTCAAACCCATCATGTTGAACAGTGCGCATCTGAAGCGTCTCAGCTGAAGGAAATAACACATTATTTATCAGCTTTAATATATCGGCCAAATTTTCTTATCAGGCCGATGATGATAACATTGTAAATGAACCGATATCGGCTGATACCGATATCGTGGCGGTGTATATCGTGCATCCCTAGTCGCTACTTAAGTTTCATTGTGACTTTAAAAACATATTTTAGTGGCTACCATACAACATCTGAACCCTAAAAATTAGGGATGCGCGATATATCGGCCACCTTATCGGTATCAAAGTTTTTTACCTTCATGCAATAGGCAGTGGCGAATTATGCTTTAATCCGTTTGTGCATTGCAAAGGTGGCACTGAAGCGCTTCAAAAGTGGAAGTTAAGTAAAGTGAACCACTTTATTAATCCCACAAGAGGCAGTTATATTAGGGAAGTGACATCACAAACTAAAAAAAAACATATATTAAAAACAATCATATTCCACATACACATCTACATATTACAACATTCAAATGTAGGCATCTTTACACACTGTTTAGCGGTGGCATGAATGCATGTACATTTTTACAGTTGTATACTTTGATTCCAGGGTCTGAGGCCTTAACTCAGCTGTGTAAAGACGCAAAATGAATTTATCATTTCACACACATTCCTAGTGTAAATGCATCTCTCATCCAGGAGAAAGCAACTAAATGGAAGAATCCGGATGGTCACATGGACGGCCTGACGACCAATGGCGTGCTGGTGATGCATCCGCTGGGTTTCCCCGAAGAGCCGAAGCAGGGCGTGTGGAGAGAGATCTCGGTGTGTGGAGACGTGTACGCCCTCAGAGAGACCCGATCCGGACCCATCCGCGGACCGCTGGTGAATATCACACACACACACACACACAGTGTCGCCGGTGTTACTGGTGTTCAGAAGCAACACCGGTTACATCACGGCACCGCCCCCCCCACATATTATTTTTGTTTTTTTGTAATAAAAACATTTAGTTCAGTTAGAGAACAGACACGATTAAAAACTGAACGTGTCTAATAAGTCGTGAGCTGAGCGAGAGTCACAGATCAGCAGCAGGAGTCAGATCTCATTCATCACGAGAGCGAGGAGCTGACTGACA